GCTATACGAGGTCTTTTCTGGTTCCATACAAAGCGTAGAATTATTTTTTCCAGATCTGTGAAGAATGATAATGGGAATTTGATAGGGATGTCATAGCACATCCAGTCCTTGACAAAGTAGCCTGATGAGAAAGAATCATCGAGTTGTATCCTCCTTGATGAAGCCTCCTTGATCCTCATAGCCAGCTTGTTGCTTCCCGTGTGGTCCCAGAGCAGTTTGTTTGCATTGCCATATCTTGCTTTTATTTGTGGACTCCTAAACTCTTTCCATCTTTATAACTCACAGTTGAGTGTGTACCTCTCAGTGGCAATTCAGTTTTCTAGTTTCCAGCATCTCGCATTGACGCCTGCATCTATTGAGTATGCAGCCACTATTAAATGAACAAATGTATATTATAATAGTGTGTATATTATTTATATACCCTTTTTCAAAAATGTGTTTAAGATGGCTTATAAGCAATATAACAAATTAAATGAAAATTGGAAGTAAAAAGGAGGAGGATGTAACGTGGGACCAAGGATGAGTTAATTCATACCATGAATCTGTAAGTTAATGTGTAGTATGAATATGGGTGCATTTACATGTGCAAGGAAACATATATGTAGAAGTTTTACAAAATATATTTAAAAAAATCTAACCTGTTTGATAATTGCTTCTTTTTTATTTTGGCCTTGGAAAGATTTCTTATTTTTTTAGGTTGTACATTTTGTCACTATATATCTGGTGCTAAAGAGTTTCTCTGGGGAATGCTCATTAGTTCTAAGATTCCAGTGAAATCAGCAGGTGGTAAAATGGAATGGTCTCAGTTCATCCCACTGCTATGAACATAGGAATCTAATATGACTGTGTGCGGTGCTCTTTAGCTCCTGAAGATTTGTGCTCTAACTCCTGTTACCTGCTCTCTTTCGGAAAGCACATAGCCATGGGGTAGGAATTCTAGAAGGCTAATTTGAAATAATGATCTTCTCTTGGAATAAATATCATTTAAGTTAAATGTAACGACAAAGTACCTATGGATATAGCTTGCTCTCTGGGTGACTCATTTGCCAAGTTTAAATGAACATGTTAAAATTGTATTCTTATTTTCCAGCTCTCAGGATTAAATTTATGCAAATCTAAGAAGAGGTTTTTTTGGTTATTAATATTAGATGATTCCTGAGTCTTATCTCTGCATGATGTTTTTAAAATAGAGAATAAAGCTTTACTTTGTTGTTCCTAATTGGTAAAATAATGTGGACTTATTCTGGGTAATCTATTAAGACAACAAAGCAGTTAGTCACTCATTGGCAACTTTATGAGAGAGGCCAAGATGCCAACCCATTTCTTTTGGTCTGCCAGCTATTAGAGTGTGTATTCCAGGGATTTGCTAATGACCAGCTAGCTGGCAACTGATTTACAAGGCGGGAAAGACAGGACTCTTGAATGGCGGCCACTGACTCAGAAGCAGGACAGAATGTGTACTGGCTTCCAGCCTTGTCTTCTGGCGTGCAGATCTTGCTGCCAGGGGAAAGGGGACTTGATGATGGGAAAGAGCCTGTGTGCTACCTTTGGTGTGTTTGCCAGATGTCATTGGCATTGTTTTTGACCCTCACTTTGGTTTAGCAATTGAGAACTGCTAAGTAGCATATAATATTTCACTTGAAGATGTTGGGCTCCCTGTCTATTTGCCCGTCTGCCTGCCTGTCCGTCTGTCCATCTGTCCGTCCATCCATCCAACCAATGCTGAGTTTAAGCTATCAATCAATGCATGGGTTGGAATTAACCTCTGAAAGCATTGTTTACAGTTGGGGTTGGCAATCTTTTTCTATAAAGGAACAGATAATAAATATTTCACATTTGCAGGCTTTACTGGCTCTGTTGCACCTACTCGGCTCTGCTGTTGTAGGGTGAAAATAGCCATAGAAAATATGTAAATGAATGGTGTGGCTGTGATCCAGTGAGATAATGTTTATAAAATAGTTGACTTGCAGACTGTAGTTTGCCTACCCCTGGTTCAGACAGTGGGAATATCTGGCTTAACATAGCTTGTGTGATACACAAAAACTTAAAAAATGATTTAGTGCTTGTAAGTTTTTTAACATTGCTTTATATCTGAGGTTTGTTAGCTTAATTATCTTCTGCTTTGAGATTTACCTACAAAACTAGTTTTATAGGTTTTTACCATT